CCCTAAACTTTTAAAGCCCTAAACCCTAAACCCTAAACCCTAAACCCCTAAACTTTTAAACCCTAAAGCCCTGAACTTTTAAACCCTAAACCAGTAAACCCCTAAACCCCAAACCCGCTCAGCTGACAGTCGCATCCGATGAAACTGTGAAGGTGTCCGGCGTGGATGTGGCAACCGAAGACCTTGTAGAGGCTTTAGAGCTTTAGAGGCCCAATCTCTAAACCCTAAACCCCTAAACCCTAAACCCTAAACCCCTAAACCCTAAACCCTCATATCCCAAGCCCTAAATCCCTGAAGCCTTGCAACCTCCATCAGTGCCACAGCCTGAAAACCCTGCACCCCTAGAGCCCACAACGCCTGCACCCCTACAAGTTCTTCAACACAGGGTTTAGGGGTTTAGGGTTTAGGGTTTAGAGGCCAATGTTTATACTATATGAGTGCATGGACCCTTTTTTGGGCAACATACAGAACCACACAGGGGCTCTGCAAGGAACACTTCGAAGCCCGTCCACCCCAAAACCCTAGATCCCTACACCCTAACTCCCTGAACCCGAACCCTAAACACTCCCCAACAACTTAAACCCTTCACACTAAACCCCAAAACCTAAAGGGCTCAGGGGGAAAAGCCCTAAGGCCTAAAACCCCTGAGCCCCAAGACCTAAGGGTTCAGTGGAAAAAGCCCCAAGGCCTTTAAACCCTAAACCCCTGAGCCCCAAGACCTGAACCCTAAACCCTAAACCCTAAACCCCTGAGCCCCAAGACCTAAACCCTAAACCCCCGAGCCCCAAGACCTAAACGCGAAGCAAGGAGAGCCCCTGGGACGAGTGGGCACGCACGAAGCCCAAGCCGACCGTCGACTCCCGCAACGGCGGCCCGGCTGGCCAGGTCTGTTTGTGATTTCGCTTGGGGTTTAGGGTTTAGGGTTTAGGATTTAAAGTTGCAGGGTTCTTGAGAGAATTCTATCGAAGTCTTCAAAGGCATAAGGGTTCCAAACGGTTTAGGGGTTTAGGGTTATACGGAGTTTAGCGTTCAGGGGCTAGTTATTGCTTTGTGACTTTGGGTTCGACAGGATGTAGGCAGTCTTGCTCAAAAGGGTTCAGGAAACTAGGTTATAATCAGGAGATCGTGGACGCCACCGTTTGGGGCTATGTTTACGGGATATCCTCCTGTGAGTTTGGTGTTCGGAGGCTTGGGCTAATAAGCCCTCAGCCCTAAACCTAAACCCTAAACCTTAAACCCTAAAGGCTAGAGAAGTTGGAAGCATTACCAATATGCTTCCTGAGGGCTCCCTGTTGCAGACATAACTTTCCGTTTGGTCCGCACCCCAAGCTTCTACAGGAAAGAGCCCTAAACCCCAAACCCTGGACCCTAAACCCTAAACCCTAAAGCCCTAAAGCCCTAAACCCCAAACCCTGGACCCTAAACCCTAAACCCTACAACCCTAAAGCCCTAAACCAAAACGCAAAAAACCTGAGTCGTAGAGTCTCTGGGCCTGTCTTGGAACCCTAGGCCAAAGGAATCGCCCGCCACAAGCCAAGAGCAACAAACCCTACACCCTAAACCCCCTGACAGACTTTATGCACCCGATGAAACTCGAATTTACACTCGCGTAAAATCAGATGAACTTCCATAAACACGTGAGAAAAGCTCTTCTACATTCCTGACACACTTCTCATCAAAATCTTATGAAAATCTAGAATAAGATCGCATCAGCGCCCGCCTAACACCCGAGAAGCTTTGCCCTAAACCCTAAACCCTAAACCCCTAAACCCTAAACCCTAAACCCCTAAACCCTAAACCCGGCTTAGCACCCGAAAAGCTTTGCAGCAAGAATGGTGCCTAACCCTAAACCCTAAACCCTAAACCCTAAACCCTAAACCCTAAACCCTAAACCCTAAACCCTAAACCCTAAACCCTAAACCGAGCCCAGGAAAGTCCTGGTCCAAGCAGGCTCTAAAGGCTAAGGCTCCCTGGTTGCATGGATTAGGGTTTAGGGTTTAGGGTTTAGGGTTTAGGGGTTGGGGTTTGGGGTTTAGGGTTTCGGGTTTAGGGTTTAGGGTTTAGGGTTTTAGGGTTTTTTTGGTTGGTTTTAAGTTTTTTTTTTTGTGGGGGGGTGTTGGGTTTTACAGTTTTTTAAGGTTTAGGATGTTTTTTTGGGTTTAGGGTTTAGGGTTTTAGGGTTTCAGGGCTTTAGGGCTTTAGGGTTTTAGTCAGGGTTTTATAGGGTTTAGGGCTTTAGAGCTTCAGCGTTTTAGGGTTTTAGGGTCCGACTGACAGGCTGATTATCTAAAACCCTCATGCAAACAGTCCAAGACTGGAAGCTCCCCCCCTAAACCCTAAACCCTAAACCCTCCCCAAAACCCCAAACCCTGAACCCGAAACCCCAAACCCTTAACCCCAAACCCCAAACCCCAAACCCTAAACCCAAACGGGGTTTAGGGGTTTAGGGTTTAGGGTTTAGGGGTTTAGGGGTTTAGGGGTTTAGGGTTTAGGGTTTAGGGGTTTAGGGGTTTAGGGGTTTAGTGTTTAGGGTTAAAGGTTTAGGGTTTAGCGGTTTAGGGTTTAGGGTTTAGGGTTTAGGGCTACCCATAGGCCCCATAGTAGTTCCTTTTTAGGATTACCTTATAGGATTCTATCTAAGAACCCCAAAAGGACTACTTTAGGGCCTATGG